CTGCTAGCGCCGGCGGGGGGGAACGCGGTGAGTAGCCCCGTCGGGGTGGGACAGAGGATTGACACTTATGCCCACATGAACGGCTGGACCAACGGGGCTTACTCACTGATGCAAGACCAGCTGGGCTACAGCCAGCACCCGGGCATGAACAGCCCCCAGCTGCAGCAGATGCACCGCTACGACATGACGGGCCTGCAGTACAGCCCCATGATGTCCACGGCTCAGACCTATATGAACGCTGCGTCCACGTACAGCATGTCCCCCGCTGCCTACGGCCAGCAGCCCTCCACGGCCATGAGCCTGGGCTCCATGGGCTCGGTGGTGAAATCCGAGCCCAGCTCGCCCCCTCCTGCCATCACTTCCCACTCGCAGAGGGCCTGCCTGGGAGACCTGCGGGATATGATCAGCATGTACCTGCCCCCGGGGGGGGATGCCACAGACCCTTCCGCCCTGCAGGGCAGCAGGTTACACAGCGTCCACCAGCACTACCAGAGTGCCGGGACTGGCGTGAATGGTACCGTACCACTAACTCACATATAAACTTGGCTGCTCCGGACGGCTCCCCGTCTTAATCTCTAACCCCATCACCGCTCCCTGACTGCACCGGGACGTACAGCAGCGTTGCTCGGCTTAGCAGACTTAATACTAACTTTGGAGAAATTTTAAAAAGGAAATCCGTTAGTTGTGTCTTTTTTTTTTTTTTTTTTTTTTTTTTTTGTACAAGGAAAAAAAATGAGCAAGCTGTTATTTTATTAGATCACAACTCCTGCCTCCTAGAAGCCGCTGTGGCGTTTTCAAACCACGGCAACTTCTTTCCTGGTTTCTGCTAGGTTGGGCAATGTTTTATTCGCTTAAAAGTTTTTAAAAGATCTTGCGTCTTCCAGTTTGATTTCTAGCGCTGCAATGACATAAAAAAAACCCCAACCTGGCGGGCTTTTGTTTTTAAACTCAGTTGTTCACGTTGTTGTTGTTTCTTATGTGTTTTGTTCTTCTCACCTAACCGAGCCTCGCTTGGTTTCTATCTACAATCTGTAGCTTTCACGACTCTTTAACTTTAGGGTTTTGTTCCTTTAAAAAACGGGAGGTGGGAGAGAGCTGTGCGGGTCGCAAACGCATTTCTTTTATTTATAGTAAGTTGTGTGTCTTGGTTTTTCTTAAACTGTAAACTTATGTAAATTGGTTTGTGAATTTTTCTGTGAATCATGTTTTGACATATCAGATGAAGAAACGTTTTAGTTTTGTTTACCGGATTTCTTCCAACAACAACAAAAAGTCATCGAAATACTCCTTCCCTCTCCCTGTACCTACTCCTCGTTTGCTTCCTTCTTCCAAACGAAAAGAGATCAATAAATTTTATATCAGGCACGTCGGCAGTCTCCGGGCGGTTTGTGCGGGGGCGGGCGCGCAGCCTGTC